AGTTTTCTATCCTTTCTCACAGTATCTAGCATGCCTATCTTTTAAGATAAAACGATTGTCTATCGAGGGAAATTCAAGTAAAAAATCTACAGAGCATTCTAAGAGGTAGCAAAGAATTAAAATATTGTGACTAGTAGTATTATTATGTTAATCGTAGACATCGTACCGGTATTTTGTCTCAACCATTCATTCCAGCCCTTTTAGGATTGCACTAAATACTTCTAAGAGTTTAATAATCACTGAAATGTTACCACACTCACCAAAACTGTTTGATAAATCCCGATGAGAACTGGAAATGGAATATTTAGATAATGAACTTCCTCATAGAAGCCCAAGAAAGCAGTTAAAAGTCCAAAGACTCCTAAAAAACCCCAAGAAACGCAAGGACGTTGTCAGTATCCCATACATTTCTTTGTAAATCAAGAACAAAGTGTTGCTACTATGACGTCACTAGCCCAGTCTCCCCTGTCGCTCGGTCATAATTTGGAATCTTCTTATTTTCGCACTTTTGACCGCTCGAAAAAAATAGAAAGAAGCATCAGAATCAAAAAATTCTTTTGACACGTTTCTTAGAATAGCTTATATTTCGATATAAGAAAGTAAAAAAATAAGGGTCATAGGCACTTCAAGACTTTTCTTTTTGATTATTTATTTTTTGACAATGCATAGTTAATTTGTTTTTTGTTGTTTTTGTTTTGTTTCTTCTTCTTCTTTTTTTTTCTTTTATTTTGAATTAGCCAACCAGTGAACAATATATTACCATGTTTTATTATATTATTATAGGGCAGGGCAGGGATTCAAATCTCGTTTAAAACTCAGATTTTTTTCTGAATCTTATAATTAGCAGCTGCATAGTTGTTTGATAATGATTTATAATGATAATGATTTATGATTTATATAGCACTCTTTCTATATGGATATAATCAAAGGCGCTTTACATTGCATTTTACAAGCATGAGAGATGGTTAGCACGAAGTGTAGGCACTGAGGGTGGTCACTGCCAGGGTTTTTTTACGTCCTCAGTGGTTCTTTTATGTCCCTACAATGTTGGTTAGTAATGATGAGTGTGGAGAGACGGGACCACCATTTAAAGTGGTCATCCAATCCACTTAAAAGTCTAACCATTTGCAGAAGTAATTACAGAGGCAGCACTTTCTCCTCAATTATTTTAAGACCCCAAGTGTTGGTCCACGATTTGAACCACGACCTCCCACATGAAAGTCTGATGCCCAACCAACTGAGCCAACCAGTTGGCAGTTGACATCCCATACAAGAATCATAATTTTTTCTGAGTCTTGTGATTAGCATCTGCATTTGTTGCTTGATGTACTGTGCAGATCAGCTCAATTTGATATATTATTATTGTTTGTTAGTACATATATATTTTGTGTTTTTTTTTCTTATATGTATTTTAATTCGTAAGGGCATTGAGATTTTGGGAATGCTAGAAATACATTATCATCATCATCATTAATATCATTATTATTATTCATTTATTATTGTTATTGACGGGAACTTGAATTAACTTGAATTAACTTGATATGGCTCAAAAGATATTGAGAAAGCCTTAACTGGCGAAATGTTTATTGACCTATTAAAGCGTCTGTGCCTGAAGAAGTTCTATCTTTAAATTATTATTATTATCATCATCATCATCATCATCATTATTATTATTATTATTATTAGCAGCCAGTTGTAAATTAACATGATATGGCTCTAAAGTTATTGAGAAAGCCTTAACCGGCAAAATGTCTATTGACCTACACTATATTAAACTGTCTGTGTCTGAAGAAGTTCTATCTTTATATTATTATCATCATCATCATCATCATTATCATCATCATTATTGTTATTAAGCAGCCAGTTGTAAATTACCTTTTTTAAAGAGATATTTACAATTGTATATGTAGCCAACAAATAGTAAAAAAAAGTTTCCATTATCTTTTTTATTATTATTCCTTTATTTCTCAGCAAGACATGAACATGATTGAGTAGGCATAGTACATGTTTTAATCCACAGTCTTTCTATTTCTATTTTAAGGTTCTGATAATTGTTTATTTTCTCTTTCTCCTTTCCATCTTCCCTGTCATATATTAGACTAGAACCTGCCTAGCAACAGCCACTTCCGGTTGTCACATACGGGACTTTATCTTTCTTGTTCTGTACTCTGTTTACTGAAAGGCTAGGTCTGAGGCTGTCTTGCAATGCTGTGGCCTCCTCAGCCACGGTTTCTTGAGCAATGGCTATCTTGTAGGCTTTGGCGAAAGTGAGGTCAGACTCCACGAGTAGTCGGTTTTGAATTTTCTCGTTCTTAATTCCACACACAAGTCGGTCTCTCAGCATATCATGTAGACTATCACCAAAATTGCAAGATTCGGCGGTTTTCCTCAGGTCAGCTACGTAATCGGCTATTTTCTCTCCTTCTCTTCGTACACGTAAATGAAATTTGTACCTTTGTACTGTCTGGGATTTTGTCGGTGCAAAACGGTTTCGTAAGACCGCTACCAACTCTTCATACGTTTTCTCCGCTGGTTTGCTAGGAGAAATTATGTTTCGTAGGGCTGAGTATGTCGCAGGGCCAATAATACTTAAGAAAATAGCACGTCTTTTCCTTAAACGGGCTTCAACGTCTCCCTCGTTTGAACCATCTCCATTCAGGGTTAATTTGCCCAGGTCATTCGCCTCAAAATACTGCTCCAGTCTCTCTACGTATTCTTCAAATTCCGCTTCTTGTCCATTAAACTGCTCTATTTTTCCAAAAGACGCCATAATCCCATCCTCGTCGCCAATTGTTATGTCTTGAAAGGTTTTTAATGAACGCAAGATGGATCCCCAATCCGTGTTGAAGTAACACTCAATGATATGCCTGTTAATTTCCAACTAGACACAGGAGCCCGGGTGTCCCTAATGAATTAGGACGATTTTAAGAAGTACTTTAATGATGCTCACCTTATGCCTTCCAGTTCCAAGTTACGCTCATACACAGGTAATCCTATTGGAGTTCGCGGCGAAAGGTTAGTCTCAGTTAAAATTGGAAACCAATATGCTAACCTGCCACTTGTCATTGTTGATGGTCAAGGTCCCCCACTTCTTGGAAGAAACTGGTTGTTGAAGCTGAGACTACCTTGGGAAAACATCTTTTCGGTCCTAAACCCTGAGCCTGAGCCGTCACAATTATCAAAGCTGCTACAAGAACACGAAGAATTGTTTAAACCAGGAGTTGGGTGCCTAAAGGACTTTGAGGCACATATCGAATTAGAAGAGAGTGCACAACCTGTGTTTTGCAAGTCCAGAGCTTTACCTTTTGCCATGAAAAAGAGAGTTGAGGAGGAGCTCAACAGACTGGAGAAAGATGGAGTGATCAGAAAGGTGCAGCACTCTGACTGGGCTGCACCAGTGGTACCAGTGGTGAAACCTTCTGGAGCTATACGGCTCTGTGGTGACTACAAGTCCACAGTAAACAAGTCAGCTAAGATGGATAGATATCCTTTGCCTTTGGTGGAGGAGATTTTTGCTAGCCTAGCTGGGGGACAGAAGTTTACAAAGCTGGACTTATCTGAGGCATACCACCAAATAGCCTTAGATGATGCTACTAAAATAGACAACCATTAACACACACTGTACCACACACGAGTACCTCCGCCTACCATATGGTATTAATTCTGCTGTTGGTATTTTCCAACGTGCTATGGAAAATATCATGAAAGGACTGCCTGGAGTGAGGGTTTACATGGACGACCTGCTGGTGACTGGTAAGGATGATGAGGAACACCTAGTAAACCTGAAGGGTGCTTTGACGAGACTACTAGATAACGATCTGAAACTTAAAGAGTCTAAGTGCAAGTACCTGTTGTCGGAAGTGGAGTACCTTGGCTATAAAATATCATCTGCTGGAATTTTACCTACAGGATCTAAGGTAAAAGCCATTAAGGAGGCACCTAAGCCAACCAATGTGAATGAACTCAGGTCATTTATTGGCCTTGTGAACTACTATGCAAGGTTCCTGCCAAACCTAGCTAGTAGCCTGGCCCCATTGTATGACCTGCTGAAAAAGGATGTGAAATGGAAATGGGGAAGTAACCATGAATCTACTTTCAGAAGGATAAAGGAGGAGATGTCTGAACATGCGTTGTTAGCTCACTATGATCAAAATGCTGAACTTGTGCTAGCCTGTGACGCGTCGTCAACAGGGGTGGGCGCAGTCCTTCAACAAAGAACAGCAGATGGAGACCTAAAACCCGTTGTTTTTGCCTCTAGGAGCCTCACGCGCACTGAAAGAAACTATGCACAAATAGAGTGGGAAGCCCTGGGTATTATTTTTGGAATGCAGAAATTTCGCCAGTACCTCTTGGGAAGAACCTTCACCTTGCTCACAGATCACCAACCACTGGTCAAATTGTTTGGTGAACACAGTGGAATCCCAGAACTTGCTGCAGCTAGAATAAAGAGATGGGCCATTATCCTGTCCGCTTACAGTTACCAAGTTAAGTACATTGCATCCAAAGAGAATGTTTGTGCTGACTACCTCTCTAGATCTCCTATTCAGAAGACACCCACTGAGCATGAAATGGAGAATGAGGAGGTAATGTCAATAGACATTAATGCACTGAGTGGAATACCACTTACTTCCAGAATTGTTGCCATAGAAACAAGCAGTGACCCATGCCTCTCCAAGGTACTGCAGCTGACCAAAGAAGGATGGCCTAACTGCTGTCCAAATGAGGAATTGAGACCTTTCTTCACGAAAGGATGAATTATCTGTCGAGCAAGGATGCTTGTTGTGGTCTAACAGAGTGATCATACCCCCTGTACTCAGACCTAACCTACTACTTGACCTTCATGAGGAACACATGGGAACAGTTAGGATGAAAGCCCTGGCCAGGCAGCATTTCTGGTGGCCAAAGCTAGACACCGCTGTTGAAGAGATTACAAAACAATGCCCCTGCTGTCAAGAAAATGCTCCCAAGCCCACCAGCCCTCCTGTCACTGCCTGAAACTGGCCGTCAGGTCCTTGGAAAAGGTTACACCTGGACTTCGCTGGCCCGTTTATGGGTCGCATGTTCCTAATAGTTGTAGACTCCTACTCTAAGTGGTTGGAGGTTTTACCTATGGGTTCCACTACAGCCCAAGCTACCCTACTACAGCTACGTAAGTTGTTCGCCACGTTTGGAATTCCAGAACACATTGTCACGGACAATGGGCCACAATTCACTTGCGGCGAGTTTCAAGAGTTCATGCTGAGAAACAACATAAAGCATACTCTTACACCACCAGGACACCCTGCGTCAAACGGAATGGCCGAAAAGTATGTTCAGCATTTCAAGTCTCACATGAAGAAGATGAAAGACAATGGAAGTACTCTAGAAGAAAATCTTGCAACAACCCCACACTCTGCTACTGGCGACACACCTAGCCACCTGCTCATGAAACGTCAGCTGCGAACATGGTTCTCTAACCTGAGACCTGGGCTTGTCAGTGACAAGGAACAGTCTGTGTTTGAGAAAAATTGTAAGTGCGAACCAAGATTCAAGGAACTTGGAGATGCTGTTTTCGTGCTCAATCTTCGTAGTGGACCACGCTGGTTACCAGGTACTGTGATTGATGTGCTGCAGCGCTCATACTACATCCAAGTGGATGAACACGTCTACAAGAGGCATGAAGACCAGTTGAGGCCCAGGATGCTTGACATGAAGGTTAGGCCAGAAGCTGACAGAAACTTAGAACCCCTGCTACAAACTCCAGTGCCTCTAGAAACAGCTGCAACCCCAGAAATGGCTAAAACACTAAAGACCTCAGTTCCAGCTCCATTTCAACCAGCCGAGTCTCCTCATAAAGAAAAGGAACCTAGCGTGAGTGAAGTGCCCAAGATGGAGGAAGAACAACCTCCTGGACTAAGAAGAAACCCAGAGAGACAGAGAAGGCCTCCACTTCGTTATAGGGAATGAACTATGGACTTTTGTTATTTAACTTTTTTTTTTTTTTGAGACTGTTATTTCCAAGCCCTAAATTTAGAGGGGGGAAATTGTCATATATTAGACTAGAACCTGCCTAGCAACAGCGACTTCCGGTTGTCACATACGGGACTTTATCTGTGACGTCAGACACTTTTATCTTGGGGACTTTTAGAGTTAGTTTGTCCGACTTGTAAAACCTATTCTGAATGAGCGTTCATTAAAAACCTTTCAAGACATAACATTCCCTATGATTGTCGTCATTGCGCCGGAAGCAAGAACATATCACTCCTATGTACAATGCAGCAACGTATCGTTTTTAAGATTTTTTTACTTACTTTTAAAATTTTACATACTGTAACACCTTCCTATCTTTGTGACTTAGGTCAATTCTTATGTTCCTTCTTGCCCTTTAAGATCCGCCTCTTCTTTAAATCTTTTGATGAAACAATCTTAATACTTATGGCAAAAGATACTTTTACTTTGTGGCCCTGGAACTATGGATTGCTCTTCCTCCTAACATAAGATCTTCAATTTGATTTTTTAAACATGAGCTAARAACTTAGCTTTTTAGCCGGGCTTTTGATTCCTTTGTATTGTTGCATTATTGTGCTGACCACATCAAATTCAAGATTCTGCTTATCATGTACAAATCACTTTATAACCTGGCTCCATCCTACATTTCTGATTTGATTTCTCGTTATATTCCACCAAGATGCCTTTGTTCTTCTTCTGCTTTTCTTCTCAAACACAAAAAGTACCAACTGAAATCTTATGGTTACCGTTCTTTCTCTGCATCTGCACCTGAACTCTGGAATGCCCTTCCATCTTCAATTAGGAACTTTGAAAGCTTGTCATCATTCAAGACTTCTTTGAAAACTTATTTGTTTAAATTAGCATTTAATGTCTGACCTTTACTACTTTTCTGGTTATCGTAATCATCATTTTTGTATTATTTTGTATTTCATCTTTCACAGCGCCTAGAGCAGCATAACTGGTTAAGCGCTTTACAAATTGTAATTATTATTATTATTATTATTATTATTACTAACAGTTGGTTTTGAATCAAATTTGAAAAATAATGTTGATCGAAAATACAAAAAGTACAAAAATATCATAAGGAAATTAAGTAGTGATTTTAAATCTGTTAAATTTGTAAATCTCTCGATTAGTTCTGTTCGAGTTTTCTCTGCGGAAAGCTCAACATTTTTAGAAATGTTCGACCAGCTGCATGTAGGATATGAGAAAAAACATAAAATGTATATAATAAGAAAAATAATCAACATTGCCATTAGATCCA